GTGGGTCAAGGGGCCACCAAACAAAAGCAAAATAACAACACAAATCCAAAGAAATTGAGAAATTACAGAAGTCAATTTTTTATGTTGAAAAACCGATTAAAAATAAATAGTACAAGGGGAGCTAAATTTGTTTAAAAGTATAATCCCAATTCCTGACACTTACAGGAGAGGCTCCTCAGTAGTCACACTCCTACTCCATGGAAGAAAAAATTAGTCTGAAGTACCCAAGGGAATGCTGCTAATACAGGCATGGACAAACAAATGCCCAGGGCCCGGATGTGGCCCCCTGGGTGCTTACCTCAGTCCCTCCTGATTTTCCCTGTCCTCTTGGCAGAAGGACTTGGCAGCCCACCATGTCCTTACGCCAGAAGGTTAGTAGAGTGCTTTCAGCCACCATGTGTCTCTGGAGTGCTTTCAGCCACCATGTGTCTCAACCTCCTCCTGGCATAAGGACGGTGTGAGCGATGCCATCTTTATGCTGGGAGGATGGCTCAAAGAAGGCACATAGCAGCTGAGAGCCCTCCAGAGCACTTTCAACCACCACCTGTCTCATCCTCCTCTTGGCTTAATGCCAAGAGGACAATCCAAGGATTGGGGGAGGAGGATGGGGAGTGGGATTGGGGGGGGAGAGAGATCAAGGCAGTTGCCGCATCCCCCCCCCCCCCCCCCCGGTATAAGGATAGGATGACCAGCCCTGGACTTATGCTGGGAGGACAACCTGAGGATGACCCAGACCTTCCCCGACCCCTCCTGGCCCTGCCCTCTCCTGAACCCTCCCCCTCTCAGACCCACACCATCCAGCGTGTGCCTAGCCTCCCTCCCTTCTGGCCTGGCCCTTCTGGCTGGGTTCACAATGCAGCCTAAGACAAAAAAATTGCCTATGCCTCTGTTAAAACAATCTTGGTCTCTTTTTGCTCAGTGCTGTTATCAGTGGTTGCTTGTGATTTCCATGTTAGGGGTAGAGAGTGTATTCTAGGTTTGGAAAACTTTTAAAGTGCTTTAGGAATAAGGTTCAGCACACTAGACAAGTCATTTAAAATGCACGTCAGAACTTGAATTGTAGTTTCACTGACCTGGAAGCCTTTTACAAAAGGAAAGCAAATAAGCACACTCCTGTTTACATCATTTAAAGAGATCAATGTGTGTATAACATGAATGAATTAAGTGCATTGTTAGTTCATCTAGTATGTATAATGTCAAGGCAGGCTGCAAAGCTAAATTCTCAATTGTAGATTAAAAACCTTTTTTTTTTTGTAACTCTTAATATTCCTTAAAACCTTATTGCCATCTTTTTTTATTGTCATCATGAAAGGGACAAGGTAATACTCATTTATGACCATTCTGTTTTACAGTGCAGTCAGAAAGCAAAGATGCTTTGTACTTTGTTGGATTATTTCGGGTTGCCAATATCGAATTTCTCCCTGAGTATCGGCAGAAGGAATCTAGAGAGTTCCTCTCTGTAGCACAGAATGTTCAGCAAGTGGTAAGGAACTCACACTTATTCATGCTTAACAATGCACAATGGTGTAGTAGACTGTCTAAATTATATAAATTAGAATGTCCTAAGAAAAGGTTGTTACGTCCAATCGCCCCTCCAGAATTTTACAAGTAGTTTGAATAATATAATCTTTAGTTTGAAACATTCCATATTTTCCCACTATGTCTTTAATTTATTTTATCACCAGGAAAAACACTTCCAAGAGAAGATGAATTAATTGGGCAAGGCATTTAGATTGATAGCTCTAGGGGCCCTCAATCCACTCAAATCAATAATCAACTGGATATATTGACTTATCAAATTTTGGCCTCTTGTAATGTGACAGTATGATAAGGCCTCACAATCTTATTTTCTTGTCATCAAATAAGACTATTTTTAAGGACAGCAAGCAACTCATAAAGTTAAATGTAATAAATACAGCAAATATGTTAATTTAATAGAAGAGCATGGTCAATGTTGTTTGCTGAGCTCTGTCATTTGTGCTATGCTAAAAGTGCTGAAATCACAATATTATATGCCCAGAACCAACAACCAGTAGTTATATACACTACCAGATCCCAAGAACATTTTCTTAAACAACAAACAATCTCTAGTTACCAGAACAGAATATATTCTGTACTGGTCACATAAACCTCAGATTAGGATTATAATGGGTGATGATGATAATCCATTATGATGATAAATAATAATATAAATAATAATATAAATAATAATATAAATAAACAAATCTTTATTTATATCTCACTTTTCTCCGTCATGGGACCCAAAGTGGCTTCCAACATTTTAAAATCATGCAAACAACCATCCATATTTATTGATAATAAGGATAGATAGATAGATGATAGATATTGCTCATGTGCATTTTGTTGTTGTCTGCAAAACTCTGGTTCTATAAAATACTGATGATTGAAATAAACTTTATCAATCTCTACCAGTGCTGTGATTAGATATTAGATTGGTCTAATATGAGTGCTGGGACTTGGTAGATCTCTTGGCCAAAGTTGTTTATTGTTTGTTTGCCTGTTTGCCTTCATGCTCATTTTCAAGGCTCCTTTCAGTTCTGTGTTTTCTTTGGGAGAGTAGGACTGGTATTTCAGTCATACCCAACAGAACCATGGTAGTTAAAGTGGAAACATAGCACTACAATTGTGTCATGTAGGCCCCTGGTCTAAATCAACTCAGATTGTTGTTGAAAGAAAAGCTTCTCTTGCCTTTGTTTATGAAGTGGCTTCATTAATGTAGACAACTCTGACAAGGAAATCGTTTCCATGGGTGTCCAGTGTAATTCATCTCCTTGCTCTAGGTTGGTGTAAAAGGGAGCTGTACCTATTATTAAGCAGAATGAAGCAGCTACCCACAGGCAAAAGATTCTGGGACTATAAAGAATGATACTTCTTAATGGGTCATACAGACCCATTGAAGCATTTTGTATACTCTGTTGTCCTCAGATGTGGTGAAGAATGTAGTATTGTAGTAAGAGTCAACTATCAGGACCATTCCAGTTCAAAGGATGAAGGAATACCTTCCTGCCTCAGATAGCAAAATAGCTGCTACAATTTCATTCTTTGCCCAGGTATATTCCTAGTGACATCTTCTCTCAAGCTCAACAAAAAACTTTATGAAGGATCTTCTTCTATACATTCATAAGAAATAGATATTATAAAGGTAACTTGAATGAATGAACCTGTGCTACTCTCTCCATCAACAAAAGCCGGGAGTGAAATTCATCCCAACTGAATTTTACTAATTTTTGTAATGAAGAAGATTATTACATTTCTTATCCTTGTAGTTACCTGCCTGTCTTAGAAAATTCTTAGTAAGATACATTTTATATTTGGTCTCTGAAGGACTGCAAAACTATTATGTGAATTTTCTCTTTCAGATGAACTTGGTATATACCAAATCTGCTTTCTCCAAATTTTATAAGCAGTCCATTGTCTCAGATGTCAGGTGGGACATGTTTCATTTTACTTTTTGCAGCTGGGGTTCTTAGAGAAAAAAATAATCTCTGCTTCCCTTGTTCAAAGCATTTATTTTATCATATATGTGAATGATGGCAACACAAAATTACATCAATGCTCAACAAAGAATCTTATGTTTATAAATACTTCTGGCACATCATAGAAAAAATGAGATAACCTTTAGATTTGTAAGGATCCAGATGTAAGAACCACTATGACATATTCTGTTTTTATATTTGATTTCAGTAATAACAACAATGGGGGACTACTTGTGCATTTCTGGATTGTGTTTGTGGTGCCACAGGCTAAAGGTCCAGTCTTTTGTGAAGATTGTGTAGCTGCTATTTTGAAGAACTCAATTCACACAAGCATCACAAATCGAACTTCAATAGGGAGTCTTCAAGGCCTGGCTGTTGATATGGACTCCATTGTGCTTAGCGGTTGGTATTTCTACCTAATCTAGAATGCTTTGCATCCTACAGGTTTTATCCAAAGAAGAAGCTCCTTTTTTTCAAAGGGAAGGAACATTTAGATAAACTTAGGATAAAACATATTTCTCTTATTTGAGAGTAACAGAGAGTAACACAGCCCTATATCCCAGAATATCAAGGCAGAAAATCCCATAATATCTACTTTGTGCTGGGTTATCTGAGTCTACATGCAGATAATGTGGGATTTTCTACCTTTATATTTTGGGATATAGGGCTGTGGGGAAGGGCCAGAGGCCGCCCTAGGTAACTTTCAATGGTAAGCAAACAGTATTTTGCCCCGCCCCACCAATCACTGATATATATTTTCTGTTTGTCATGGGAGTTCTGTGTGCCATATTTGGTTCAATTCCATCATTTATGGAGTTCAGAATGCTCTTTGATTTTAGGTGAACTATACATCCTAGTAACTACAACTTGCATATGTCAAGGTCTATTTTTCCCCAAGAGCACCCCTGGGCAAAATCAACTATACTGCAAATGCTTACTTTGCGTACTGGGTTGAGCCGCCCCTGGGAAGGGACCTCAGGAGAAGGTTCTGAAATTCCTATAAAACATTAAGTTCCATTATTTCTGTTTCTAAAAAAAAACCTTTTCTGGATAGCTCTTCAAATTCCTTTTGGTTTTATGATGAACATGTGTATTGTTGAAGGCTTTCATGGCCAAAATCACTGGATCGTTGTAGGCTTTTTGGGCTGTATGGCCATGTTCCAGAAGTATTCTCTCCTGACGTTTCACCTGCATCTATGGCAGGCATCCTCAGAGGTTGTGAAGTCTGTTGGAAACTAGGAAAATTTTCGTAGTTTCCATTTTCCTCTTTTCCAGGAGACCTCATAACCTCTAAGAATGCTTGTCATAGCTTCAGGAGAAATATTAGGAGAGAATGCTTCTGGAACATGGCCATACAGCTCGAAAAACTTACAACAACCCAGAACTTAAGTGTGTTCAATTCTAAGTTCATTGCCACCCAACCACCAAAATAAAGAGATAACACAACAGATATGGGTTGAACTATGGGCAACTTTTATTAATGTTATCTAATTAAACTTTGTAACTTGCAGATAACTCTGCGGCATCAAATTGGTGTGTATAAAGTCAAGGCAGTGGCCCTCCCCGGCCTACTCCTTGGCTAATTTTGGGTGAAACACCTAGGTCCCTAGCTGAAATACATTGGTCAACCACGAAGGGAAATATGATAAAGAATTCTGCCCCAGGGATTTATTGAGGCCAGACTCCGTTCGGCTTAGGTGAGGGTCTCCATTCCTGGTCTACACACAAAGAGGGTGCCTTGGGTGTACCCCAGAATTAAATCTCTTGCTATTTTCTGGTATGGGCTATTTAGTACAGGGTAGGCAAAAAACCCCTCCTAGAACATGGGGGGGGGGGAATCCTACCTAGCTCCAAAGGTGACCAAATAATTATACTGTGAATGGGCAGGAGGGTGGGTCAGCATCTGGAACAGACTGAAACAGGGGGCGGAATGCACACTCATGTAACTCCACCCCCAAAAAGTAGCGCCTGCTGGAGCTACTTTCCTAAAGTCTTCCCCAGTGGAGGTGGCAAAGCACCTCCCACCCCCCAGCTGTGTGGGGGAAGTTAATTCTGATGGAATGTGATAAACATCTTTAAAAGTCAAGTTATGGTGACTTCATAAATTCATATGAATTGGATTTTATACTCAAGCTATGATCCAATAGTTTGAAAAGATTGAAGCATTATGTCATATACAGCATCTGCTGCCCATTTCTTCCAAGAGTTGTTTACATTAAAGGATATTTATTTGTATCTCTTTTCCAATGCAGTTGGGCTCCGATCAGATTACTCTTCAACAACTGGAACAGGTATAGTACTGAGCATATTTATTTATTTATTTATTTATTGAATTTATTTATATCCCTCCCTTCTGACCCCAGAGGGGACTCAGGGCAACTCACAACAAATGCACAGTTCAATGCCTTGAACACATATTAGCATAAAACAACATATACATTAAAATCATTAAAACGTATCAAAAAAGTTATTTAAAATCACACAATCCGAGAACATATTTAGAATGGATGTTCTGTCTGATCCCTTTTAACTCAGGGGTGTTTATTGTCTGATATGGATTGAATTCTGATTCTGGACTAAAAACAGAATTTGTTTCTAACTGAGTAACTGAGTGTTGTTGATCTCCATGAGAGATGTCAATTTCTAGTAACAGTATCACTTAGACTCCTTCTGATAAAGGAGAGAGCATTAGAGATTTTGTTCAAAACATTTCATATTGTAAATGTGAGTAGTATACATTCATGTTGTATTAATGATTTGAGAGAGAGACAAAACATTTTTTGTCTATTTAAGACTTGATTTCTGGCTTATCTGCAAATACAATAATCTTATGGCATGGACAATATAATTTTGACTACTTTTGCAGGTACAAACTGCATGTATGATCTGCATGCAGACCGACTACATCAACACTTTCCACTGGATATTTCAGAAAAATCAGGAAGAATGATCTGCTATTTCAAATTGATAGCATTGGTTGGCTACCTAATTCGTCTTTCTATAGCATCCATTCAGCTTGAAGCTGATAACTGCATCACAGATTCATTGACCATTTATGATTCTCTGATGCCAATCAAAAGTAAGATACTGTATCGGTAGGTATGCTTTTCTATAATATTTCTTTGAAGAATTTGTTGCAGAAAAAAACATGTTAGGGGAAAATATGGGATGATATGATAGGGATGATAATAGTGATGTTAATGATGATGATAGTGATGTTTATTTATATTCCGCCTTTTCTCTCCACAAAGGAGACTCAAAGTCACAACAATGTCATCCTTTCTCATCAAACATCTATTGATTTATTGCAAATGATTTATTATTTATGTTTAACAGTAATTAAAACAATTACATGGGATGCAGAATTCTAATAGTCAAGTACGCTGTTTAAACATGAGTTGTTAGTTTGACTTCAGTGCATGACTTCAGTATTGTTATTGTTACAGTAGAGCAATAAAATACTTTGGCTTTATAGAAAGGATGGGCTCAAGAGGAAGAGGCTCTGTATGCTAACATCATTTATATACTTCTTACCTGCAAACTCTTACCAGAGATTGTGGATAAAGGAGAAAACTAAGAACAGGTTGACTAGGGATGCACATTCTGTTGTGACTCAGCTGGAATCACAGACTATCTCTGATGAGGATAATGGGACTCAGGTTCTCAGTTTGGTTCAAGATGTCCCTGTTATATACGATGAAGAAGTGCAGTTTCCCACAGCAAGGCATGACCTTGGGACCTTGGGGCTCTGCAAGTGATTATGAGGGGCTCCACGTCAGGTGGTACCAAGATTCTTCTCTCCTCCTCTTCCTCCTCCTCTCCCCCTACCCTTTCTCCATCTCCATGATGTGTGGCTCATCCAATGGATGGCTGCCCTGCAGCTGTCCCTTGGAGTAGATTGGTTGGCAGGAGCAAGTCACTGTGCAAAAACAGAAAAGCCAAACACTCCAAGCTCAGAAAATGCCAGCAAAGATCATAGGAGCAGAGCTGGGATGAAGAGTCAGCAAACCAAGTGACTCAGGCCCCTTCCAGACAGCTGAATAAAATCCCATATTTTCTGCTTTGAACTAAAATATATGGCAATGTGGTCTCAGATAACCCAGTTCAAAGAAGATATTGTGGGATTTTCTATTCTGGGTTATATGGCTGTGTGTAAGGGCCCTCAGTCATGCAGCGAATGTTTTTGAAAAGCAGAAGAGAGATAAAAGGAGAGAGGGGAGGGTTGGAAGAAAACTAAGATGGACCTTCATTAGTCAGGAGAACGATAATAACATGGGTGTTTCAGGCATTAAAAGAAAACATGGAGAGGAAGGAGATTTCAGGGAATCTCTACTAAACTCTGACAAACTCTTCTGCAAGAAACAAGCACCTTGTTCACATTAACTTTGGGTGTACAAGCAATATTGTACAAATACCTACTTGTTATACCATTTTGTAGATTTAAATAATGAATAATATTGTCTCCAGTTTTTTTTTACTATTGTTTCCTTTATAAATATATATATACCTTATATATACCTTATTATATATATACCTTATTACCTCATACATTTCTATACACATCATGTGTAATACGCCTCATAAAACATAGACAGATAAAGCTAAAGACCAAACATTTATTGGGGCTCCATGAGAAACTTTTGCTTCAAAAAGGACTCTGTGGCTGAAAATGTTTGGGAACCCCTGGTTTAGATTCCAATAAATCAACTACCTAATAATCCTGCTTGAGCTCAAGGAGGTATACATAGTTATTTTGCTTATTTCTTTTATTCTCACTAGAACCCTGTTCAGACTTCTTAAAATGTGTTTTATTTCTTAGTGCAACTGCTGTTGCTCAAACTGTTGGAAGCACAACTTCTTCGTTAATTGGCTACCTAAGAAAAGAGCCAAGGCTACCAAGGGGACTATTAGTCATCTTCATACAATCAATATATGAAAAAATTATTTGTTTCAGAATTTGTGAACCAAGCAATTCACTCCGGTCTTTTGTTTCTACTAATAATATGATGCTGGTGACACTGAAGTCTTCTCAAATGAGGAAAGCAAAGGAATTCCGTGGCTACTTTGAAGTCATTCCACAAGAAAGTAAGAGTTCATTGTTATAATGAAAATATGTGCAAAATAGATGAGTTAAAAGGTGCTGTTAGATTCCTTTCTCTTTTTCCTTAAAAAATAGAAGAAAAAACATTATATAGCCTCATCCTAATTTATGTTTTGTCTTTGAAACGATGTCCTTCTCCAGATTAAGTATGCCAATCTTCTTTGTGATAGTTTCAGCATTTGTCTGGTTCTTCTGTTGTTCTGTTGTCTATCTAGTCAAAACACTTTCTGCTTCATTTCTGCAATTGAAACAATATCCTAGAAGTCTTCCAAAGGCATGATCCATGTATCACTGTAAGTCAACAGGTGACTTGAAGGCACAAGCACGCAAACTTTTCCCAATATTTCTGAAGTACCTTCCTGAGATTGTTTAGGTCAGATTTTGGAAGGAGAAAATGGCTTGGCACTGCTGTGCTTGTATTTCTTTCCTCTAATATAGGCATGGTGAGGAGTTCCTCTAGAAAGGTAGCATGATTTGGTTTGAATCTTGGACTAAGACTGTTGGAGACCAGTTTGAATCAACATTTAGGTATGGAAACTCATTGGGTGACCATGGACTAATTAGTCTCTTAGCCTTAGATGAAGGCTAACCCCTCCAAAAAGTTTGCATTAGGGTAGCCATA